GAAAGTCTAAAAATATCGATATTAGTAGTAGTCGCGTGCCCCTGTGATTAGTGGGAGGCGGTCCCTTGCAGTTTTGTTTTGAACTTACAAAACTCAGAAATAATTATACCTCTATGGAATGTATGTCTTCCTTTGCAATTTAGTGATTAAGTACTTTAAAGTTTCAGTCGTATACAATTTTAGTGAAATAGCACTTTACACTTTCCTTAGTTGCACTCCATAAAATATATGTAGTTTGCCGGATACTCTGTGTTGAAATGACACTATCTAGATAACAAAAATATGTCGAAATATAGGTAATACACTCCAGATAAGGTTAGTATTTGAAGTAAGCTTCACCAGGTGGTTCTTTCCACTGGTGGGCCACCTTCAGGTGTAAATTATATCACCTATCTTACGGTACAACAGACAAGTGTCAACGGCCTCACCTGAGAGCGACAGATTTTAATAAACATACGGTATTTATGCAATAAATGATAACATTCTGGGGTTGTAATTCCGGGAGGGGATTCCACTTTTTTACGTAGCTGTACACGAAACAAATATCCATAATATCACACTCGATTACGTTACAGTTAAAGGTTTGGCGACCTGGCTGTCTCTGATTGTAAGAATATATCTAACGATAAGCTTGAATTTCATAAAACATTCAGAAAAGCAGAGTAAAGGTTCCTTGAGGCGGATACATGTGTTTTTATATGTATAATATATAGGATTACTTCTTTGTGTGGCACGAAACAAAATTTCACCTAAAAATTTAAGACATTTAAAATATTTTCTGTAGTAAAAAAATTCCACCCAAGGATACAGATTGTTTTAAACATTTTTTTAGACATTCAGACTAAAGATTTGCTTAATTAAAAAACCATAGTTATTCAAATATAAGAAATTCTCATAATAAAGAAAAATTTAAACATATTTTCTTTTACAAATATACGAATGGATATGACAGCAAGTTATTACAACTTAATATAGTCCGCTCCTCAATACATATGGTAAAAATAGTGTAATAAAGAAAAGCTCATCAGTTTAAAAACTACCTTTAGTTCAAACGATCTACTAGAACGTTACCCGCCAGTAAAAAGGATGGTAGACTTGTGTTATTCTTTACTGGTGCTATTAAGACAAATATTGATTCACTGTCTAATCCTACGTGGGCAAGTCGCCAGTCCCTGGTCGCCGATCGGCGGTTTTTCTCCGGGTGCTCCGGTTTCCCTCTACCATCAAAATCTGACTGTCCTTAAATGAGCGATAGCTGTAAATAGGATGTAAAGCTCAAACAAATCAGACCAAATCAATGTTGAATTCTCAAGTCCACTGTAATCTGCAGTGCTAAGTTGGAAAAAGTGAAATCCAAAAACATTGTAAGGTCACCCTCCACTTAATTAATTTTAATGTGTATACATAATCTCTTGTACATGCACTACATGACGTATTTTTTTATATTTAAACTGTGACTCGGATGGCTCTTGGAAATAAAGAAACTGAAAACTAAGACTGACAACTGTATTGACAAGTTTCCGTGGTAAGTATCTGTTTCTCCACGTTTTGCACAGTACTCCCCCTACACACAGCACTGACCCGTATGTCTATAGTATCAGCCCGCCAGCGAGCACTGAGAGCCAGATCTATTTACTCTAGGTATTACGCTGGAGTTTACTTTATAACCTTTTCAGTCGGGAACATTATATTGATATTCACATCAAATGTTGACGAGTTATGACTGCAATTGTAAATTTCCTTAATCTGCCTACACACACTATTTGACGTTTATACTAAATCACCAACATATTTAATGAGATCTAAATACTTCTGGCATGTACGTACACTTTCGCTGGAGATATAATCTGTACGTATTTTCATAGTTTATGAGTAATGTGTTTCGTGCTGTATAATATTGCGATACACATGATCCATTTTGCACGCAAGCTATATTTGTGTCTCAATCTAAAATGCACTTTAAAATTTAAACCCGGATAAAATCGTGATGCAATTCAAAGTTTCGATAAATATCTTTTTTTTTTCAAATCGTTTACAGAAAAATCAAAAGTATGTGTCATAAAATCTGAAACACGTGCTCGTGTTGTGGCAGTAGTACATAGGGGCTTCGGGCAACAGTTTCGAAAGATGACAAGACTTGTTTGATGTAACTTTCGCGAGCGGCAGAGGTCATTTCGCTTGACGAATAAAAGAAGGTATTATTTAAAATTCTTGTTTACTTATGAAATCTGACGTTTTTATTCGATATCAGAACACGTACTCTACACATCATGTTTTAGTTCACATCCGAGATAGCCTCCCGCTATTTTTCCTTTTCAAGTAGATTCAATATCACGCAATCTCATACAGTTTTATTATATATATAACATAATTTCCCATAATGCTCGTGAATTCCATCGTCTGTATAAATCTACCGGTGTCTATTTACTTTCTATCAATATATAACAGTGCCGGTTTGTGTGTGTATGACACTGAGAAGAATGAGTCCTAGACGTTACACGAACCCTTTTATATATCTAAAATCCACAACCTTTGCCCCATTAAAAATTCTCAAATTTGACTTCTAATTAATCCTTCATATACAGGTTTATTCCCTATACTTGTACTTCTAGGTTTGTACAACTGCCTAAAAGCAACACAGCCTTGTTCCGGGTCTTGTATCCTGATTCCTACGACCACCCCACATATCTTCCGTGTGGACCTCTACTCTGTTCTGCTCAGCATATAAACTACTCCATCCTGAAAGCACTTAACCCTTCACTACTAACAAACAGTTTAACTACCACAATCCACTACCCTGAAATCCTTAAAATCTGCATTATCCACAAACCATCACCCTTAAACCACTTAACCATACTTACCGCCAAACCACCACCATGACACCACTAAAGCATGTCTTATCCACAAACCACTACCATAAAAATCTGCCTTATCCACAAACACCCACCCCGAAACCACGAAACCATACCTTACTTCCAATCATCACCCTGAAACTTCTTAACCATACTTACCGCCAAACCACAACCATGAAACCACTAAACCATACTTACCGCCAAACCATCACCATGAAACCACTAAAGCATGTCTTATTCACAAACCACTACCATAAAAATCTGCCTTATCCACAAACATCCACCCCGAAACCACGAAACTATATCTTACTTCCAACCATCACCCTGAAACTTCATAACCATATCTTACCGCCAAACCACCACCCTGAAACCACAAAACCATACCTTACCTCAAACCATCACCCTGAAACCACTTAACTATACTTACCGCCAAACCATGTCTTATCCCCAAACCACTACCATGAAAATCTGTCTTATCCACAAACACCCACCCAGAAACCACGAAACCATACCTTACCTCCAACCACCGCCATGAAACCACTAAAGCATGTCTTATCCACAAACTAACATCCTGCACCACATCTTTAACCATCTACCCATTAACCACTAGCCCCGCATTACCTGCACACCATTAAACCCTTACACTAACTGCAACCCACTAACCATAGCTTATCAAGACACTATTACCCATAAATCACCCACTCCCATCCACTAGAGAACCCTGACTACCCAGTCTCTTGTCCATATCTACATCTCTTTTCATCATGTTCCTTTAAACAGTATATACTGTGACGCACATTTACATAAATTTTCAGTTATATAGTATGTATGGTATACGTCCCTGTGACAGTAACCAATAATGTCACCCCCTTACCCGCATGTTTACGTAAACATCTAAACAGAATCACAAGAAATAAGACATTATCTATCAAAAGATATCTTTTAAATCAACATGCACTAACGTTGTACCAGACGGTAGGAATGTCTCACGGAATTCGTGTGCGCTCTATACAAAACGGAACACGGACTAGCTTCGTATCCATTCCCACTAAGTGATCAAGCACGCGCCGATTGATGTTTGATTAGCATGCACTTTCTCAATGAAGCGCTTAATTGAAGCATTCAGGTAAAAACTTATCAATTAGGCCGGTAAGATAAGGGCTAAAGGGTTTCCCACTAATACACACACAGGTATGTATAGGAGGGCTCAACAGGTTACTTCCGGGACATACACACTGCGGTGAAAATTATACAGAGGACCGATTTCATTCAGCGTCATAGCATTGTTTAAATATAATATAATTATCTTCGGGTAATAATAAAATTCCTTTGAAGTGTATCGATTACGTTTCGAATTGTTCTGAAGATGACTGATAGAATGAATCTAAGCTTAATGAATCGATCCTATTTTTGTAAGGATCAAGATGTCAGTGAAATTATAAACACAATTTGTTATAATAAGATTAAACGGATGCCTCTAGAATTAATATATAAATCTTATTTTCCTAAAGATCAATGTGTCAATCAAACATTTAAAAGGACATTTATTCACATAATCCTGTTACTATTTCGGGATTGGTGTAAATCCTACAGTTGTTCGCTGTTAGCATTGATGATAGACCCGTCGTCTTACACCAGTTAACCATGTGTTAAAAATATCAGTACGGAATTCCGCCTGGAATTTGTTGAGTACATGTTAAATAAATACCTATACAGTCCATCAATCTGTCGTAGCAGATGAAATATGCTTGAATGTACATTAATGAAAAAATGAAACGTTTGTAAAATCACAATACTTTCTGAACAAATGATATGGAGTTTTTAATCAATTCGTTTTTCTACTATGTAAACAGTATCACATGATAAATAAACACATGTTAACGATTCGATTCGATTTATTTATATCCTGTCGAGTATATTTTTGAACTCAATATAACCACTGTATGATCCGGATCGTTTAATGGAGTATCACATTGTCAAACGGGATTGTAGTTGCAGCAAAGACATTTTTTATCATTTGCTAAAAAAATGTTTTAAGTTACTGTATCGTTATATTTGTAACTTAAATGACATAGACTAATTCATCTGGCGTTTGCTTTGATTTATTTTCTTCCGAAAATAAATTAATAAAAAAAAAAGGAATCTTACCTGCCTGTGCATACGTAAATCCCAACAGGTGAACATGAAGAATACACATGTATGTGACCAGTATGAAGCACACAGCCATCTCAGACAACACAATACCAGCGTCACTACATATAAACACATGTATTTATATAATCCCCTTACTGTTGTCTTTAACAGATCGCGAACGACCTGAGAGTGAATTGGCGTGTACCGAACACGCCCGCCATCACCTCGGGTCAGCCTACTCGAACGGACCCGAAATATATACTGCAGTGTTCCCTTTAGCGTGATACCTTTACGCTCGCAACGACTTCTAACTCTCGCGTTGTGTCGGATATAGATTCTGTCATCCTCCGTATCTAAATATAAATTATCAACCCAATCCCATTTAAGTAATTAGTAGGAGTAAGGAGTAGACCCGGATCCCTTGAGCGTCAGACGAACACAGATGCCGTCTACGATAGTTTGACACCGTTTTGGTTTTTAAATGTCCACGTTATGTGAATAGCTTGTGGCCACTTGAAAAGCGTTGTAAATCAGAACTCCAACATGTAGGTAAGTACGGAGTGGGTCCCCGTGTTATCTTGGTACCCTGTACAGGCACAACATGGATTTTATATAAGGCCTGGCATCAAAGTGAAAGTTGAAGTATTAGTTATGCATTGATGTGTGAGAATGTAGACGATGCGCATGCTCAATGCGATGTTGCAGTAGTACACATGTCGGTGTTGACAAGTTAAAAGTGATAAAAGAAACATGAAATAAAGTTTCTTGTCTCTAAAAAAATAAGTTTACCTGTCTATACCAAACAAAGACATATCTTCAACTATTCAAATTTCTGTAGAAAACGAACCTACTAATCAGAATACTTATATGAATGGTGATGTTTTGAGATTGGTTTTCATTTCACGGTATCACCTGCCTAAACCGGCCATGCATTAAATGTGAATACGTTTAATCAGCACTTAAGTTATCACATGTCCGACAGTTCTTGCAATTATAACGAAAACCTGTATAATCTGACATGTCCGGTGTCGAACGAGGCGCGTTTGATCAGCTGTGTAAAGTAACCCGAACTTACTAATAAGCAAAGTCCATTGTATTAGTAGCGGTCGGCTGACACAAGTCCCACTACCTGTGCTAGCTGAACCCTTGAGTAGTTTCAATGGTTCGCTAAGACAGATTTTATCAATTCCGTTAGCTGATCGCCTGTAACGTTCGTTATTCACAAACTGTTGCTGATAGTAAAGTGTCATTCTCTGTATGGGATAAACACCTGTCTAGTTCGGTATATATAGTGGTCGTCCAAAACAGGTTTTGGAACCTGAGTTAAATACCTGCTAGTTCGGTATATAAGTGTGAGGTAGTGGTCGGATAAGGCAGGATTCAGTAACTATGTAAGTTGAACACTGAAAGGTCGACCCCTCTCTGCGAAATTTCTGAGACAGGTTCTACAATTTATCTAAGCTCAACGTCACTTCAGCTCGTTATTTTTGTAGCATAATCTGCTTAGCCAGTTTTAAAAAGCAAAATTGTTTATTTCATGCGTATCCCTAATAAGAACGGTTTAACTTCTCAAAACAAAGCCTGTTAATTAGTACCTTGAGCGCGTTTAAGTATGTCACAAGCATCAAACAGATCAGACACAACTACACTTCCGTTGCTCATCAGCCGATCGTGCGTCTAAAGAATTTTGAAATGTCGTTGAAAATACCAATGCTCTTAGAACGATCTCGGAACACTACATGCATTGTAGACACAACACCGTGCAGTCAACAAACATGATGAAAACCAACAATCACACTCTTATTTAATTGGTAGTTTTCGATTGATACTAATGCCTGTGTAACAGTGAATAAGAGTTGTTCAATAGGACCGAGATACGAACGGCGCCATTGTAAGGAGGCGGAGTTATGACGTTTGTATTGGTCCATTGTCAGGAACGACAACTCTGGGTCGAGATTGGGTCCATTGATGTCAGGCTTTGACGGTACACCAATACAAGTACATAATGTGCCGGTATATCGTACAGGGTCAGACGATAAATACTGGTCGTATGCACGGTCTTGTGTCAGAGGGAGACAAAGAGGAACAAAAAGGAAGAGAGGAAGAAAAATAAAGATAAAAGATCCTAACTTGATCCGACGTTTAGGCCATAAACAGTCTATTGGTTGCAGTGCTATGTGTTATAGCTCCCTTGGGAGTAGACTAGGAGGAAATCTGTTTCCTCTACTCCAAAACACAGGTATGATTCACCGTAACACTAGATACCAAAGTTACATAATGGTTCAGTGTTACAAGGATTCCCAAAGTATACATATCTCGTTACAGAAGTCACCCACACCAGTTCACCTATTATTTCATTTCTAAAGGTCAGCGTAAAGTTACCCCTAATCAACTGGTCTCCCGAACACGATCTTTAATCAGTCGAGAAATATTAAAAAACGGAAATTGTACAATTGAGAGTAGGTCAATATTTATTTCAGAAGAGTCCGTAAGAGATACAGACAGACACACAGACGGGTATGAATAGATACACACCAGACCACCCATTCTTGTTCCAAATGGCCAATTAGGGTTCCGAATGGAAGATCACAATGAGCAGGTGTAACCCTTTGATGCTGTTCATGTCCGTCGTCACACTAAAGGATACTATACCGATAAGTAATGGCAGAGTGAGCTCGAACGTCTGACGGTGTTTTTATGTTAATTCCCGGTTAAGTAGGGACTTTAAAGGATCTTTCCCTTGAGAAAATGACTAACATTTAACACTCCTGTGTGGGTGGACATAGATAGCTCAACCCGAGGGTAAGAGTTTTGAGGTTTGTCACAAGTTTTTCCAAATGCTGAATTTCGAAGAACTTATCCTGAGAGATAAGATTTTCCAGTCTGCTTTGTACAGGAGAGACAGGTTATGGTTTTCCATACATTATTTTATGTAACAACAAGTTTCATCATCACATGTCCATAGTCGAGATAAACGCTTTCTAATGTAAACAGTTATGATCAATGAGGTTTCACTAAACACAGTCCGGATAAACGAGGTTCTTCCAACACAGGCCGATTAACCAAGTTCTACTAAACATAATCTGGTTTAACGAGGGTTTATACAAACTCCAGATAATATATAAGTATTATACACAGTTCGTTTAAAAGAGGTTTTACTATACATATTCCGTACTAATAAGACTTGAATATAAAGCTTGTGGATTAACGAGATTTTATTCCACACAGTTCGGAATAACGATGTTCTACTATACGAAATCTAAATTTTAAAGGTTCGAATGTACACCGCCAATATAGACGAGGTTTCACTTTACACGCTCCGGATTAACGGCATTCTCGAAACACATGTAGGGCGTGGAGTATGAAATTTTATCACATACCTATGTCATCTTACAATAGTAGTACAACAATTTTCTGTTGATGTTTTCTGTCGGTTTTTATTACATATGTGTGATACAAGATGTTGTATCACCATACTAGCCGGAACCACTTTTTAGGGGAATTCCCTTGTTATTGCAAAAAAAAAAAAAATCAAAGTTTATGAAATCTTTGTATCGATTTCTACCAAATACGGAAGGTATGTGATAAAAGCAATACCACACACTTGTGCTTTTCTAACGGACCAGAAAGCACTGATTTATTGCGCGGACGTATATATTCACCCGTGCGCTCCGTGCACTCGTGAATATATTCGTCCGCGCAATAAAAACACAAGTTTGTGGTCTTGCATATTTATTTATCGAAATCAAGGAAAACGTCTAATAAGGAGACACGAAAATGCATCGACAGGATCAGAAAATGTTTCGAAAGCGACAAGCATTCATAAAACATTAATTATCTGTAAAAAAAAAAAGGAAGAGGATTCAGTTTTGACTAGTATTCTTGAATAACAGGTCCAAATTACACGTCTGATTTGACTCACTTATAGGAAAGGTGGGAACGACCGTCGAGGGATCATTGGTTAAAGCAACAAGAGCGAGTCGTGAATGTCAATGTAATCAAATTACGTGTTCTTTGTTACATGTACCACAATATAGAGGGCGCTGTGTCGCGGGGCTGTGGGACCAGCTGAGCTGTGACGTAACGAGGAAATACTGTGTTACCTGTCAGCACTTAGAGTTGTTACTTAGGTGTCGGTCATAACGGATTAAGGTCCATCTTTTCACTAACATTTCACCCACACACAGGGAGGGCAAAACACAACGGAGACCATGCAACATGTGTGGGGACCACAATTTCTTCGGATATTACTTTTCTAATGCACCACTGGACGACACTGTTGTAAGAACCACGACCTTAGATCACGGACTAATTCCGTGTAAGTATTAAAGGAATTTGAAAGCAAAATACGATTAAAAGGTCGGATATGGATGATATTTGCTTCAACCAGAGATTTCCGGAAACTCCCGAGCGGTTTCCGAATGTCTCTAAATTGTCTGATAATAACATTCAAGCGTACACACAAACAGCATGCATTCGCAAATGGTGTCTGAGCTAATGTGAGATAACTATGAGGTTAGCTAGGGTTAACACCAGTATTAGTTAACTGGCAGGAATTTAATGATCGAGGGGTACAGGCGTGTTACGTCATTAGGTGTCAATTAACGACATCCAGGTGAGAATTCCAGGTGGGACGTTGTGTAATGGCGCTAAGATAGAGTGCGAACGGCTGTATATTACGATAACTAAAGGTAAAGAGCTGTATACAGAACCACTGGCGTGAGACATTGTGTGTTGACTGTTAGAAAATTATGTCTGAATCAAATTCAAAATAGAATACAGGCAAATCAATTATTTTTGGTAAAGAAGTTATTATTTGACTCGTACTGTACATGTTCACACCAAATGGTGGATGCTGGTTAAGAATGCGGTTTATATAAAATGCGAACTAGATATTTGATACGAGATGGGAGCATTGATCATTTTCCTTTTAACATTTTAAATAATGCTTCCTTCGAACAATTGAACTTAAGTGTTAGAACACATGAAGTTACTGAAAGACGTTTTTGTGGCATGCATATCAGTATAAAAAATATAGGCATTGACAAGAGAACAGATATTTGAACAATTATTTCGACCTCAAGCCAACCTTCTATGCGTTAACGGACCTAATGAATCATTTCCTCAGATACAGAGACTTTTTCCTTTTTTAAAAATTCTTGATTCCCCGATGAAGTGTTTTATGTTTTCTAAACACACACACTAATAGTTATGTGTTGTTGCCACACAAGTATGTCAGTGCTATGATTTTGTTTCCAGCAGATGCTGTGCATCCAGTTGTAAAGGATCGAAAACCTTAAGCTGTGTTTTGTAACTAATTGTACACATTGGGGCGGCTATATTTGAAAGAAAATATACTAAAATGTCATTACTTATCTTATCGTCAGTATAATCTTCGGCTTTGTAAAGGGTCAGCAAACTTAAATCGTTAAAACATTGTTACCTGGAATGGACAGAAAACAGCGTATCGAATGACGCGGTACCACTGCCAAAACTAATTAAAGTCTAATTTGGAAACTGTTACCGGCATCACGTACCATGTCTTTTATAACTTCTGTCTGAAAATAAACCCATACCTTATGGAAATAATAGACAAAAGATGCATTTGTATCA